TACACACACACACACACATATATATATATATATATATATATATATATATATATATATATATATATCCAAATAAATGTAGAGTTGCTGCATAGAGAGATTTGTATATATAAAATAAGAAGTCAAACAAAGTTCTGTATCTGTCTCAAAATAAAATATTTATTGTACTAGTACTTTTGACCATAGGTCATGATCAGGTACTGATAGGATAGTGGGATGAACAGGGTTATATAGAGAACATATACAAAAGAAGCGGTGGTATCGGTAAAGCCTAAACGGTGGTACTGACGCCATAACGAAACAATGAACATAGTAAGACAATACAAACGGCTAAGCCTAGAAGGCGTGTAATCACATAGGTCTAACAAATCAAAGGCATAATAATGTCATAGTATTATGGTCACAGTATGCATCACAGCAAGATAAATAAAATAACAAATTAATCTCTAAAAGATTTAAATGAGACGTTCAGTCCATGAGGTTTCAAAGTACCTAGTTGAAAAATAATACGCTCCTCCAAACGTCTGTGATTAAATTCAGATGAATTACATTGTTTGATACCGGTAACTAATATATCATTATTAATATCATGATTATCATTAAAATGTTCGGCTATTGGTAGACCTGATGTGTTAAGGTTGATAGAGCGCAAATGTTCCACGAATCTATCTCCAAGCCCCCTTTTCGTTTCTCTTATATAAACCCTATTACATTTAACACAAATAATAGCATATATAACATTACTAGGTACACGTAAATTTCTCTCGAATAGAAAAATTACTGGAAGGTCCTACGATAGTATCCGTACATACAACATGCTTACATGTCTTACATCTACTTCTATTACACCTAGTCATGCCTACATTATCTGCTGGTTGTATTGCTTTCAATCTTGACTTAGCTAACTGGTCCTTCAAGCTACGATCACGTGGTGGCTGGGTCTGATTCCAAAATATAATGATTGTCTGTTACAATCTTAGCAATCTTCTTAGAGGTAGGATGGTAAGTTAAAACCAGAGGCGTGCGTTGCGTGGTGTCACATGCTGTTGGATTCAATGCTTCTTCATGGGTAACAGTATGCACTTTCTCCAATGATTTACTAATGATGTCAGTGGGATATCCGCGTTGATTGAAGAATTCAGCCATTTCTTGGGTTTTAAATTTAAAGTCCTCGTCATTGCTACATAACCTTCTGAGTCTCAGAAATTGTGAATATGGTATGGCCTGTTTGCATGATGGTGGATGCGAAGAAGCGTAGTTGAGGTAAGTATGAGCATCCGTAGATTTATAATGCACTGATGTAGTGAGCCGTAATTCCTCAATAGATAGTTTAATATCTAAGAAAGCCATCGAATTCTAGGAAATTTCATAAGTGAAGTCAATAGCTGGGTGATAATTGTTAGCGAAATTAATAAATTCATGTAATTCTTCAGTGCTCCCACTGGTAGCCCCTATGCAGTCATCAGTATAACGTTTAAATATTTTGGGTTTAGGTCCTTTGAATTGTGACAAGATTTGATGTTCGAGATGATCCATGAAGAGACATGCAAACGATGATGCCATTTTGCTACCCATGCTAACTCCAGATATTTGGCGATAATATTTATGGTTAAAGGCAAATGCTGTAGTGCATAAGACCAGTTCTGAAAGCCGAATTATAGTATCCACTGAAGTTGATTATTCCTAATTAAAGATTTGATAGTCTGTTTTACAGTAGCTATATCACTAGAAGTCGGATCATCTGGAAGTGGTTGACAAGTAGCTTGATTAGATAACTGACGTTCTCCCTCTGAAGTATACAAATCTCTTCTCCAAACAACTGTCGGTTGAGTGAGTGACGCCGCTCTGGGCCCTTGGCCTTTTAAGTCTTATGTTTTCGCTTATGTCTAGGAATTTGCAGCAATGGCAACGTCCAAATGGTGAAGGAACAGATATTTAATATCAGTACATTCAATGTCAGAGGACTAAATAATGAAATCAAGCGTAATCAGTTAGCACAAGATATCATCAACTATAACGTTGATGTAGCCTGCTTACAGGAAACAAAAACCGAGAAGCCGATCAACGAGGACATATGCGGGGACGCTTCATTAACCTGGGAGCTGAGATCAGGCATTACGGGAATGGCTTCTTCGTTCACAAGAGATGGGTTAAAAGCATTCATAAATATTGGAAAGTATCTGAAAGGATTTCGGTTTTGCAAATTAAAACAAGAGAAAGGAAGGTAATTTGTATCGTTAATGTTTATGCACCAACTAGCGTTGGAGTTGATAAAGACGGCACAGATAGGCTGTATAAAGACCTTCAAACAATTACACGAATATATAAATATAAAACACACCTAATTATTTGCGGCGACATTAATGCGAAAGTAGGTAAATATCAAGGTAGAGAAAACTGTCAAGGACAGCATTCGAGAGGAATTAGAAATAATACTGGTCCGGTTCTCATTGATTTTTGTGAGACCAATAACCTTTTCATTACATTTGCTGATGAGGCCGATTTCGCTTTTTGCCGGGTTTATGAGTCTGCAGGGTAGTTTGTTGGTGAAGTTTTCCTTGTGGTCTTTCAGGCTGATGAATGCTTGGTTTTTAGCTATGGTGTTCATTCGGTCGGCTATACCAAGTCTATGGGCGATGCTGAGTGCTTCCGCGTTGATGTTATCGACGGTCGCCAGCTCAGTTGTTTTGTAGGTCTTGGTGTTGTTGTCCCTCAGTAGCTTTCTATGTCGGTCGTAGTCCATTTCGTAGAGGTTTCGAGTTTTGTCTGCTGGGATGAACATAGATTTGGAGTTTTTTATCTTTTTGATGTCGGAGTTCAGGGTGTTTTGGAATGAGTCATTTACTTTCTTGAAGGTTACGTTCTCTATTAGTCTTAGCATGTCGTCTTCGAATGACCTATTGAGGTCGTATATATATATATATATATATATATATATGTATATACGTGTATGTGTTTATATATATGTATAATATATACATATATATATATATATTATTTTGTTATCAGTTTTATTATTATTGATGTTATTATTGTTGTTATTGTTACTATTATTATTATTATTATTATTATTATGTATTATTATTTATTTATTATTATTATTATTATTATGTATTATTATTTATTTATTATATTATTATTTACTATTGGTGGTCATGTCCTAAAGTTTGTTTACAAACTTATTTTGACCTCCTACCGCACACTTCTTTTTTTTTTTTGAAATGTAATTTCAATTGTAACATTTATCCTTGATTAATTTATATTTTATGTGTGTGTGGTAAAAAACAATAAAACAAACAAACAATCTACTAAAAATATGAAGCAAATCTTTAAATACATTTGAGTTTAATAACTAATGAACGTGGCCTTCCATATGAAATAAATTACGCCCTCAATCGGATCATTTTAAAATAATATCCATGAGTGTTGCCTAGTCATGCAAAAGAGCAATAAGAAATCAGAGTTACCTGTAGATGAACTTGTGCATGATACTTTTCGCACTACGATTATGTACATACCCGACGATCGTCAGCCGACGTGATTTCAATATATATGTGGGTGTGAGATTGACTTCTGGGACCAAGTGAAGGCACTAGCGCAATAGAGATGAAAACATGTGATAACAGACGATTAAAAATGATTCATCTAGAGTTATTACACTTTTGTTCTAAATACAAAGAGAATACATGTTAAATAAGCATATATATTAATATTTTAATAAGCTTGTAAATATGGATAATTTTTTCATTCCTATGATGACAGGATTAATGTCGAAATATTTCTATATTTTTCTATGCAAACTTTTTTTTTATATAGGTTTTGCTGATTTTAATCTAGCTTGTAAATATAAGGGAGGCTATAGTGCTCATTCCACCTCAAATCAGCCAATGGCCTATGCACTTTTGTATCAGATTCATTTACTGTACCTTCATGTACCTTTGCTGTCCTTGTTAAAACATGTTGATCCTATTGAGGTCGTAGTTTATTGTATATGGAAAGCCACATTCATTATTTTTTTAACTCACACATATTTATAGTTTTTCTTTAGCGTTTTTCGGAGATTTGTATAATTAAATATAAATTGTCATATTTAAGTAATTATAATGTAACAAAATGCAGCTGTTTTTGAGATATGTTGTACACAAAAAAAGAACCACACGAAAACACCAAAACATGACACACACACACAAACTTACATGACTAAAAACATATATTTCTTGGCAGAGAAAATAATAATATTGATAATGACATGTTAATTATGATAATGATAATGATAAAGGTTATTATTGGTAATCTTTGGCCTTGTGTCTAAAGGAAAAAAATGAACTGGATTGAATTTGTATACGTTTCCAATACCAATAAAGACGGAATACAGTAGTAGTTGTGAACATATTAATACTGTTAAATTAACAAACTGCTAATATATTTGCCATTAAATATTTTTAGGGAAATTGAGAGGAACAATGACAGTAAATTGAAATGTGGACGAAAAGACTTTCGTTATGTGAAGACAGTGAAGGCAAAATACTACAGAACATCGGTTGAGAGGAGTCTTTTGTCAACCACTAGATTCATTGAAAACAATCGCCTACGAATGTTTAATCTTGCACTCTATTGTTTGGTTGTACTTGGAATATTTGCAGAAAGGGCCTATTGTAAGTTGATGATTATTTTTATCCCTGCATTACTGATTGATTTAGCGAATAATTTAATGCGCGAAGGAGTGCATATGCTCAAATCATTCCGCTTCATAACATGTGATCTGAGTCTTAAAATGCAAAGCGTCTGGGGGAACACACAGTGAGTCAAACCGTGTGCAAACCCTTGTGCAAACAGAAATATCAGAATGCAGTATAGTTTATAAAATTCATTTTACACTGCATAGGGTCCGCTCATTAATAACATTAGAAACAGAAACAATAATTAGACTAGATTTGAACTCACTAAAGACGAGTTTGGTGATCCGCCGTACTTTTACCCTTATAAAGCGCGTGCGGTGCTGATTGAAAAGTTTCATAATATGCTAAAATATTCTGTACAACTAGTGTTTTAAAAAAGAATAATTTTCAGCATTTTAAAAGATTTACGCATGCGTATGCGTACACGTACGGCTTGACGCCCGTGAGCATGGTAATGGCACAAAGAGTGACTCCAGATATGAATACAGTGTCAGGAACACAAAATATGTAACAAAACATGATTTCCAGCTTCAGTACGTTCTGTGTGCATGGCGTGTAAATATGGAAAGTTTTGGAATGCAGAAAATGACCCGAAACGTTTAAACTATCTGAATAGTGATATTGAAAATTTTGAAATTTTAACATACACACACGTCACGATGTGTGCGTGTACAGTAATGGCACACGAAATTAAATATTGTCGTGTTTTTAAAACCGTCTGTTAGTTATTAATGCCACAGGAATTTTCCCTTCGTATAACCTATACTGTATATATAAGTCTGATAGCATCGAAATAAAGTCTGCCGCCCTCTTGTGTTCTATTTTTTACATCTTTTAAGAATGAGAGATAAGAATGCTCTAAAAATTCATTCTTTTTGACCATGCTGACGTGATCAAAATGAAAAATAAAGGGACACGTCCGAAAGAGAATTGTTTTAGCTATAACATACTCACAGGTGGGAGACAATCAATCAAGATAAGCGAGATACGTTCAAACAAGTATAAAAAGTAATAACGTCATAAATAAAAATTCAGTTTTTTCTTAATTGAAATGGCAATATGATGACGTCACAATGTCCGATCAGCCAATACGATCTATAAAATCGTATCTACAACTCATGTGCTTTCAGAATATGTAATAAAAATTGGGGGTCACCTTTCATCTTAAGGAGCTATATCTGATTAAAAATATTCATGGTTTTATGCATATATGAATGTTGATGCACGCGTACGCGCACGTTAATTCGTGCGAACGGAAAAATAAGGTACCTGACATTCAAACTTGACCTGAAGATTATGCTCACTTAATATGTTTCAGAAATGACGAATGGTTAAGATGATATAGGCTCATCAACGTTTAGAGAAAAGAAAGATGTGGGGGGTCAGAAAAAAAACAATTTTTTTGACCATGATGACATCATCAAAATGTAAAAAGAAGTCAAATATATGAAAGAGAATTGTCTCAGCTATAACATACTCAAAGTTGGAAGACGATCGATCGAGGATAAGCGAGATACGCTCAAATGCGTATTTTCAAAAATGATATCATATCTATAATTCACTTTCTTTGAATTCAGATGCCAATATGATGACGTCACAATGTCCGATCAGCCATTATGATCTATATAATCATATTTACAACTTATGTGCTTTCAGAATATGAATTAAAAATTGGGGGTCACCTTTCATCCTAAGGAGCTACAACTGATTAAAAATAGGCCTGATTTTAGCATAT